AAAAAAAAAAAAAAAAAAAGCTATCAACCATTTGAGGTTGCAATCGTTTTCCATCTTTAGATTCACATAGGTTAGAGAGTTTTTTGAAAGCAACCACTGCTTAACAGTCAAAAATACCACAAACAGAAGAGCTGCGATGAAAAATGAGTGGTGCAATTAGTAATACATCAGCAGAAAATAAACGATAATTTAGAATCTTAGAATTAAGAACTGACGGAAAACCACTTACGCACCTACATATATACACTTCACATGCAAAATGACAGCAAAGCATTTAAAATCTCCGTTTTGCAAATTGCTAACCCGTAACTTTTTGGCGTAAATATAAGCACAAAATAGACCATTCTCCTTCTCGTCTTTCCTCCCTTCCCCCTCCTGACTAATGATGTTACTTGCCCTCTAAAAGCTTTTTTTAGACAGAAAAAGCCTTGCTCAAACCATACTTTATTTCCAGTTCATTTTAAAAACTAGCATTTTTTTCATTCCAGCAACACCATTTAAAAAAGCCAAATAACAAGAAATTGTCCATCAGCCTCCTTAAAGAGCACTTAATTCCTCTCAAAACGCCCGTATATAAATATTTTTAAAAGGTGGATACAGCCAATAAAATAATGCTTGGAAAAAACACCAACAGTAGCTAGCAAACCTTAAGTGTTGTAAATTTTTGATTTTATAAAAGAGCGTTAATATGTGTACCAATTCAACGAGCACAAAAGATAGAAACACTCAAATGACCACTAAGATAAATAGCACTCGACATAACTTAAAAAACGGCTACGTTTGTTCACAATTCAGAATGTAACTCTGCAATCACAATTTGTCTTTGTTTTCGATTATTCCGAGGTTCAAGAAATCTCTTATAAATTTCTAGGTTAACTTGACTGAGAAGATAAGTCAAAATCTGGAGAAGCAAAGGTAAAAAAGAGCATTAAAAGCAATCTATTCTATGACTGCCACACAATATCTGATTGGGTGTTAATTCTAAACAAAAAAAAAATAAATGGTTTAGAAGTATAGCAGCAAAAGTTGGTCAAAAAGGAAAGAACTACGCTAAAGTGATCAATTTAAAAAATGAACAGAATGCTGTCTGTTTCACTAACTTTAAATTTAGAAAAATTATCAGATATGTATCAGATACTTTACTGACGGCAAAAGTAGCCGTCAGTAAAATATCCGATACAATCCTAAATTCATTCTACAAATTGCCTCGTAAAACTTATCAATCAATGACTGCATTTAACTGTAATCAATAAAAGCAAACGTTTTTGCCTGCAGACTTAGCAGTCCAGATAGTATAGATGACTATTATAAACGCTAATAAATTAGTGCAAAAATCATCGTTGCCAAAAGAAAGGTTAGCAGATAAAATAAAAAGGAATCATGCTTCTGCAGCATTAAATACTTAACGGAGTACTGCAAAGAGTAAAAAGGCAAGTGTGATCAATTTAAGGCTCTAACGTTTTGACTGCCTGAAATATTAAAAGCAACACAGAAAAGAATAAATGTTGTTGCACTTTAAGATGGGCACAGTAAGCAGAATGCTATTCAAAGGAACATTATACAGCCATGAGTAGCAAATTTAGTAGCAAAAAAAAGACGACTTAAAGTGTCCTAACCTGAAATTTGTCCAACGTTTCCATAACCTTGATGCGTTCCAGCACCAGCTGGTTGATACCCACCTTGAGTAGGACCGCCATACTGACCAGGCGCTGAAGGTGGATAACCAACAGGCTGATTATAACCACCTGGCCCACTTGGATATCCGCCGGAATGATTCCCGTATCCACCTGGCTGACTTGGGTAACCGCCAGGTTGTCCTGGCTGACTTGGGTAACCGCTAGGTTGTCCCGGTTGTCCAGGGTAGGGCTGACCTGTCTGATTTGGATAGGGCATACCGGGTTGGTTAGGATAAGGCGTTGTCTGCCCAGGAAATCCCATTGGTTGACCTGGATAACCTCCGGGTTGGTTAGGGTAACCACCAGGTTGGTTAGGATAACCATCACCAGCCGGGTAACCTCCATACTGTCCTCCTTGTTGGCCAGGATATCCAGTATTCTGATTCGGATAGCCACCTGGATAACTCATATTCGGTTGCTGGCCGCGAAAATAACTGTTCCCAGGCTGTGAATAATCTAAATTGAGAGAAAATTTAAAATTATGATGATATTTAAATTATTAAAAAAAAATTAATACCATAAAGTTACAACTTAAAAGAAAAATCTTTCTCGTTAAAATTAAAGAATGTTTTGGAAGGTCATTTGTCGCTGAAAAAAAAATGACTACTGAAGAAAAACGAGCGAATTTTTTCAAAACGTCAAATGAATCTTAAAAACACTTCTTCCCCATTCAAAAAAGCAGACCTGGAACAGAAGATGAGGGAACTTGATTAGTTGTACCGCCGTCAAGCCCCTGAAAGTTCAATTAATTAAGAATGTTAGAATGACAAATCTTTTTGCTGCAACTTCAAAATTTTTCTAAAAAAAGTAAAACAGAAATAGAATTTTGTTCATTAGGATAAAATAAATAGACTTCCAGCCAGCAAATAATCCGCAAAAAAAAGCGTAATAAGACCTCATACCCTCGTATCCGTTTCCAACGTCAAAGACAGTGTTTAACTCTGCTGAACTCAATATCTCTAACAATTTAAACTGCCTAACAAATTCGTAAATTTTTTTCACCTTCTTCCCGTACTTGCAGACACATATGGCACATCTCAACTATCCCACAGAAACAAACAGCATCAGCATAAGACGATCTTTCTCCTGTTAACCAAAGGCAAAAAGTAACATTTTTTTTTCTTTTTGGTTCCTTTACCTTACACACGTTTCATTCATTTGAAACATGTGCAAAGTACAAAAATCTTTGCCCCCAAATAAACCTTTCGAAAAAAGAGTGTGCCGTCTAGAAAAGGCGATTTTGAGAAGAACCGCGTATACTCCCAATTCGGGAAAGAAAATTACGGTAAAGGCCCAACTACAGTTTAAGAGAATAATGGAAGAAGTTGATTACCAGAAACGAGGAAAAAGACACA